GGGCTGCCCATACTGACTGGGATCGCCTCCTCTCTTGCGCTGAGTTCGCCATCAACAATGCGAAACAAGAGAGTACCGGTTACTCCCCATTCTTTCTCAACTATGGGCGTCACCCTCAGACCCCTTTCTCTCAGTCGCTGCCTCTCAAACAGCGCACCTCGCTGCCCCTTCGCAGCAATGGACGCGGCCTCCAGCGTCGGCCCGCCAAGGCTTGGGCTCAAGCCAACTTGCCCCAAATTCCTGGGGTCCCTGCCTTCCTCCAAGATCGGGAATCCGCGTTACGCCGCGCCAAGCAGTGTTTACAGAATGCCCAACAGCGCATGAAACACTGGGCCGATCTTCGACGGAAGGCAGAGTCGTTTCAAGTGGGGGATCTAGTGCTTCTGTCCACCCAGAACCTCCACTTGAAACATCCCGGTACCAAGAAGCTCTTGCCCAAGTGGCTGGGTCCATTCCGGATTCAGACGCGCATCAATCCCGTCGCTTTCCGGCTGGACCTGCCTGTCGCCCTGCGCCGGTTGCACCCAGTCTTCCATGTTTCCTTGCTGCGCCGGTACATCCAGGGCCATTCGGTGTTGCCTCCTCCTCCTCCCCCGGTGCTTTTGGATGAGGAGCTTGAGTATGAGGTCGAGGCCCTCCTCCAGAAGACCATCGTCCGGCGTGGTCGCACCAGTCAGCCCTACTACTTGGTTAAATGGAAGGGCTATGATATGGGTCACAATTCCTGGGAACCTCTCCGCAACCTCACCCACTGTGAGGAAGCGTTGCAGCGCTTCGCACTCCAGGCTCAGCAGGACCCTTCGCTGATTCGTCCGCCCAAGGAGGCCTTTCAGCCGCCGCTTCGGCGCCCTCCGCCATCTTCGCGCTAGCCCTTGGCTGGTCCCCATGCTCCTCTTGAGCCCCCCCGTTTTGTGTCTTATTTTGCAGCCCTCGTCTCCGGCTGGATGAGCCTGCTCCCCCCTTCCCCGCTGTTCACCAGGCGGGGGTCCTCACGGGACGCTCGATGGATCACTCGCCTGATTTGGCTGGAGCAGCGGGATCCTTGATCCCCCCCCTGCCTTCGGGGAGTACCTGGGGGACCTTTCTCCCCTTTCTTTTTCTCTTGCCCTTCCCCTCCTGGCCATTCAGGGGTTGCGGCGCGCATTGGGGACTATTGCGACCCCTATGGGGTGCCCGCTTTGTCTCTTCTTGCTTGGTACGGGTTTAGAGGCTGGTGTTGCAGGGTTCTCCACGGATTCTCGGAGGGGGGATGTGCTGGACATGCCACCCCCTCCCTTGTTCCTCACTCCTTGTTACGCCTCTTGCCCATCTTGGGGGGGTGCAGTTTCGACTGTACTCCCCTATGTGTGTGTGCCTCTCCTGTCTCGGGCCTTCCCGGGAACCACCTACGCCTTCTTCTGGGTTGCCCGTGGTTGTCTCTATTCGGAGTCCCGCTATACCATGCGCTCCCAGGCCACTACGCCCAGCCTTGTCCGACGCATCCTTCTTACCCACCTCCTTTGGGTTCGGCACATCACTGGTGCAAAATGTCATTTCCCCTTTGCGCACCATGCTGTTTCCTTCGCGGCTCCTTCCCGCGCTATCTCGGTTGTTCGTCGCCCCCGCACTCTCTTCGCCCCCCGTCCCTTCGGCGGGCTTCTGGCGCCACCTCCCCCCCCGTTCACTGTACCTCCCGCTTCTCGCATCAGATTGCCCAGTCCTGTCTTCCTCGGACAACCAATCGTCGCGGGTCGCGACTAGGAGGGGGGGGGGGGAGTAATGTACCGCACTAACCGGTACCCGGGGTTACCGACAATCCCCCTACAGTAACCGGCCCAAGAGGGCTACGGTTACAATAGTGTAGGGGTTAGAGTGCACAGACCGGCACTAGGGCGGTGGCCACCGGTACCTGGGGTACCCCCAGGTACCGGCGCTCGGGTGTGGCCCCAAGTACATAGTACTTGGGGTCCGGTGCTGGGTCCCGGCTTAATGGCCTTCGAGCGCCCGCACCGGTAGCTCTCTCTCACCCCCTGTTGCGCGCTGCCGCGCAACAGTTCCTGTCGCACCCAAAATAGTTCCAAATCCGCTCCTGGGGAATGGCCCAGGAATGGACCGGAATGGACTGGGACGGACTGGGACAGGAACGGGAACTGGTCTGTTCCTGGGACAGGGACAGGTCCGTTCCTGGGACGGGAATGGACACTGTCCCCTTTCCCGTTCCAACTCCATCTGGCTGGGCCCACCTCTGTTTGCACCCCCTTTGGCCTGCCATTGGGTTGGCACATTTCCTCGAGGCATGCTCCGTGAGTAAATCTTCTTGGTAGTTTTGGGCACAAAGCCCCCCTCCATGGCATAGCCTACTCACTTTTTCCAGAAAGACCACCCCATTTTGGAAACACATTTTGACCGCCCCATCCGCGGCCCCCGCATCCGTCCCCGAGGGGTGCTCTCTCTCGAGCACCCCTTTGTAAGCGTGCTGCCCGGGCAGATTGGGAACTCTGCCCCCTGCCTCCTGATCCCCTCGGCCACCTATAAAAATCCCTTTGGGATTGTCTTTGCCGCCATGCAGCTATGACCCCCCTCCGTAGAGCCCCATGAGTTCCCATAGGCTGAACTACCTGATCAACAGGCATTGCTCTGGATTTCAACGTAGGGCTCATTAGCAGGTGCCCCCAGTCCATTCAGATTGGTTGTTTGACACTCGCATAGCGTCTCAGCCAATCGTTGGGCATGCAGGTGGCTGGCATTGGGTGCGGGCCTCATAAGCGATGGTGCTTCCTGGGTGCTTCCCGCATAGTTGGTGAATAGCTAGGCGGGATTACATAGCAGTTGTTCGCTTGTTGGCATATATCCGGGTACTAACAGCCCCTGTGGGTTCCCTATGGCCTCTTGGCGAGTCTCTTGGGGGGTACCCTTCCAGTTTGTTTGCAAACTTTCGACCGAGGCCATGCTGGCCTGGGGTCCCGGGCCTCATGGGGCACTAGCTTGGTAGTATTTGCGCACCAATTCAAGTGGCATGGCAGCCATCAAATATTTACGTTGGCTCCATTTATTGGTGCCCCAAACAATACTAAGAGCATCCTTAAGGGAGTCCGGCAGGGTCCCCCAACTCCAAACTGGCCTCTTTCTCAACGTCACCATGATGACACACGAATCTGCTACGCATGTTCCGGATAGTTTCCAAAGCTGCAAAAGCTCACTCACCAATTTCTCGAGACGAACCCTGCGAGCGTGGGGTTGGGGCCCACCACTGGGGGATGAAAGGGAGCCACAAAGGCTGGCAGCATCCTGTTGCGAGAAGGGACGAAACCTGGGTAAAAAAGGAGCAAGTACACCAAAAGGCCAGAGCTGCCCCACAATTGAACCACTGAAGGAGAGGATTACCTGTCCAATAGGGAAGGTGGGATAACTGAAAAAGGCAAAAAACAAAGCGATTCCCAATAGAGCAATTGTTACGCGATCACCACTGCTTTATCCTTCATTCTGCCGAAGGCACAACGTCTAGCGTCGCAGCTGCACGACCGAAATTTCAGGATGATTTGAGGATGAGTTTCTCGCTTATTTAGAAGGGCTCAGCAGCTGTCCATGGGCGCCCCTGACTGTTGTATGGTCTTGCACAGCCCTTGAGTCAACACAAACAATGATGATGCCCCACACTAATGTGTCTATTCAACATTGAGTGCGCGAGCATCAAGGCTAACAATGAATTTAAAGAGGCATTTCCAAATAGAGTAGCATATTCAGCCCCTTGACATTCTGAAACTCTGTGTTTTGATTCGAGGGGTTTGCTTCGCAATTTGCTGTCTGCACGGGCTCTCATGTGGGTGCGTTGCATGTGTGGGAATGTGGGGCTGCCCTTGAGGAACTATGCAATGAAGTCTCTGTTGACTGCATCACAACTTTGTAAACATTTGTGCTTGTCAGATGTCACCCAAAATGACCAAAGATGGGGGCTCTACCAGCAGGTAGCCAAGATTCCACTTCTGATCCATCCAAGCACATCAGACAGCTGGTACGGTTCCAAAACATTTGGCAAAGGAATGCATGCACCACATTGTACCATGGTGGCCATGAGGCACCAAGTCCCAAATGTTAGTGTGCAGATATCTCACACAGTGAACCTCACACACTATACGCCAGCTGGACACACACTGGACCAATATGGCATCATGGTGCGAACAACTACAGCACAAGAAAAGATGAACCAATGTCAAGCAACGAATTGGAGCCCCAATGCGAGCCCTGTGGATGGCAAGCAACACAGAGCCACTTCCACGACTGGCACATTGGTAGCCTAACAATGTTCCAAGGAGCCCTAAGGGCTCCTTGATGTCAACATCGCATCTTTCAACCATTGTACCCTGCTGTGAGGCTGCCCATCGTCTCCAGCACCCACATAAGTAGAGCACGCTTTCACTAATTCTTCATCAAATAATTCCTGATGGCAAAGGCACCGACTTAGAACACGATGCAGAGCTTCAAAACAAGAACTTTTGGTCACAATGAGCACATGTTGGCCACCACGCACAGTGCAAGGTGTCAGGAACACTTCCGTCATAGCTGTCAGAGATGGCACATTTTCACAAGCAAGTGTGTTCATTCTGTTTGCCATGTTTGACAAGAGCAGGCTCGCATTTTCTGCTAGGCTTCCTCCTATCCTCCTCATCAGCTGGCCTCTCCTGCTATTTTTATGCCCATCCAGCTTTGTGAACGGGCTTTGTTTCTTTCACAAGTGTGCAAGAGCGAAAGAGGAGTGATGTAACGGCGACAAAAGCTGATGCCATGATTTTCACGTGGTGTTCCAGTCAATCAATGGCTGAGTTTGTCTTTGCTGTGAAACGCCGTTCAGTGCACTACAATGTTTTTGCGGTGGTTTTGTGTGAACATGCGTCAAGACTAGCCTTAAAATACGGCGGCAGTGTGCTTGGCAACTGTCAGCATGCTGTACCAGCACCAACTTCGAAGCCCTGGTGAAGATCAGAGCTATCTACACAGACATCGTGGCCCAATGATAAACTTACCGGTTGATCAATGAATACAAAATGTCCAGCGTTGGGGACAAACGCAATATGTTGATCTGAAGCAACCTTGGGAGGGCCCTGCTTTTCCCTGAGTAGCTTCAGAGCTCGCTCAGCGGCAGCAGGGTCCATCCAGTCCTCCTCCCCATATATGAACGTGACAGGGACTCGCAAGTCCGCCAGTCGGTCCTCCAGGGGGTGCTGTGCCCATGCAAAGGGCGCCATGATGTGACGAAGGGCGTACTGGGACACAAGTCAATGTAAATAAGGTCAGTTGTGACAGTGAGAAGATTGTCAGGATTCAACTAACTCAGAGGAATCCACGACAATTATTCTGGGGATGACCCAGCACAGGGCAAGGAACTGAATTCCCTGAAAGGGCTCTGACACCACCTAAATGCACCATCCTATGGTAGTATCTGTTATCTGCCTCCACCACAGCAACGCCAATCGTCAATGTGCCAAATGACACATATTCCATTGCACTGTTGCTCCAATGGGAAGTGCCACAGGACACGTTGTGCCGTGGCTGCCCAGAAAAGAAGGATATCAATGAACATTTAATAACATTGGTTTTCCAAAAGTTCCATTGCAGTTTAGCATTCAAACTGCACTTTGCAGGAGTGCTCACACCAATGGTAACATCATATGTTACTCTGATTTTCAAACTTCAAAGCACTGCAAGTGTCCTGGAAGATATTGACAGTGTGCTCAACAAGGAACAGCCATTCTTTGTGTTTTGTGAAAACCAGCCGTGCTGAGCTGGAAGTATGCCACTGGCTGTGTGCATGGTGACCCACCTCGCCACTACCCTTTGCTGCTGTTATTTGGTAAAAATATTCCTGCAAATCCCTGGCTTCCTCAGGGTCTGTTATGAAACCTGCAAGGAAAACACCTGACATCAACCGTGCACTCCGATGCTTTTCATTCAGGCAGCTGGTAATCGTAATCCAACAGCTGTCCAGTCGATATGCAGCAGTATCCTGTCATCAAAGAATGTGAACCAGCGCCAGTGCCACAACCAGAAACATAGAAGACCACCAGTAATATCAAGAATAGCATCAGAACCTTGATATAGAAGATACTACCAAAGCGCAAAGGCAACAGGCCGCAGGCAGAAACAACAGCCAACACAGGTTCTGCATGGGTTCAATTGTTGAAATCTGAACCTCCTTTACAGGGCCAAACCCACCCACCATTGAACCTGCCGACAACATATTTCCCCACTAGGTCTGGTCCCCATGGGCCCATGAGACGGACAATGGACTGGGGAGTCACACCCACGTTCCACATGAGTTTTGAAAACCGCCAAAGCTGGCCCCTCAAGGTCCATGGAGATCTGACACTTTGTGGGGAATCATCCTCAGGCGGCCTGCCAGCCTGTCACCACAGAATGGCACAGCCTGAAAAAAGCTATTGTGCCAATCGCAGCACAAACAGCACAATGGAGCACCAAGTTTCTGTCAGGAGCACATGTGACAGCAACAGCTGCGCCTTGTAAATGCAAGCTAGACAGAAAGGGCCAGCCACACCAGTAACTGCGACGTGAAGGGGACAAGAATGCATCTGCATTGTTTGGAGGGCCCAATTGCACAGATGATTCTTTGCAGAACAGTGGTATGACTTGGTACTGTTGCAGGCGCTGATCAAGGTTTTTGGCTGTAGCAGCGTGCAAACAACAAGCTCAAGTCCGCTTGCAGCACTCACAATGGCAGCTGGGCACACTAGGATGAGGTGCTCCACATGCTCCGGGTGCTTCAATGCATACGTTGCTGCCAGGTAGCCTCCCAGACTGTGACCCATCAGGATTACTTTCTTTTGACCAATTTTCTCTTGCCAGGAAGCGAGTGATGACACAAAGAAGTCCTCAGCCTCCTCTCTTCCCTTGACATTGAAATCAGGGCGGCCTGTCAATGACAACCAAAACATGTGTTAGTCCCATGGGCATTTGGAAGCCTTGCACAATCCCTACATTCAAGGCACTGACAGCAGCCATCACAAACAAATGAAAACAGGCAAGCAAGACCAGGCACAGAGAGTTTGTCGGCAGGATCGAGAGCAAATAACACCACAACGATTCCTGCCTTTCTTTTTGCGCCCTCACGGTGGTCACTGATTCCGTCTTGGACAAAGAATAGAATGAAATGGAACAAGTCAGCAGGCAACAATGTTGATCACCCACTTGCCTGACAGACCAGTTCCCAGCCAGTCCACAGCATATGTATGGAAGTGTCTGGCCCAGTGATCAATGTTCCTAGGATGCAGCACAGCAAGAGCTACAAAAACTCGCAGCACCAAGGTTGTGGATCTGAACAAGGTTGGGAAAAAATTCTTTCCTCAAGACAGTGCCACACAATTGTCCAACATACAACGTTTAGTGCAAATAAATGTGGCCACATGGTGTCACAAAAGACACAGGCACCTTCTGTGTACAATGGCATCTATACTCTGTCTGCATCCCTATTGCTCAAGATCAAAGCACCGCGAAACCAGCACAAAACACTTCTGTCCCTCCTTAAATTCTCCAAATTGAGCACACGCCAGAATGCTAGCAGGAAGTGACACAACAGGGCTGTTCTGAATTGAGGACATCAAATCCTGTGCATCTTTTGTCATCAAAGTCCTTCACAAATGGCAACATCTCTAGTTCACCATAAATCATACATCAACCAACGGGATAATGGGTTGACATCGTTGAGTTTTGCATAGTCTTGTTTAGTCTGAAATGTTTGAAACCTCAAGTTGCCAGAGTCAGTTGCTAGCCACCAGAGGCAGTTGTTGCAAGTCTAAGACCTATGTTGCATTCCCCAATGCAGTGAGCGCTCAGAGCATCAAATCTACTGCAGAGCTAAGTCCCAACAGGGCAATGCAGTGCATCCAGCATCCAGTCCCGTGCCACACAGTTAGCCCATCCAAAGATATTCACTTGCAAACATGAAATGACATCTGCAGTGCCTACTTTAGCGAACTGTCCATCGTTTGTTTCAATGTGGCAGCTCAGATGCCCTGCACACAAAGTACAACTGCTTATTTTGCTGAAAAATGCACGTCCAATTATCGTTGAGCGAGTGGCCAATGTTGGTCCTTCACACCCGCCACAGTGCTTTGCATTGCCTGCCGAGAGTTACCACACTTCATGAGCATCCAGGCCAGCACTCACCTGTAAAAGAACCCAATGCCTGCACCAAAGCCTGGCAAACATACCAGGGTAGGTTTGGCAACATCACCAGCAACAATGCTATGAATGAAGTTCTGCTTGCCGCCACTCAACTGCGTGTCGACGACTTGATAGTTGCTCCTGATCAGGCATTTCACCACACACGAACGTCAGAAGGGACATTCTTTTGCAAGCCAATTCCTCCGGCAGAAAATTGGGGGGCGTACGCTCCAATTTGCAGATGGGGGGAACCACAATGGCTCATGTGCAGCTGGCTCCTCAGGTCCCCCAGCAGTTCCACTGCACAGTGTATGCGTGAATTGCCTGGTCTGGGTGCTTGGGAGCTCCTCAGAGTCCAGCACCACTGGTGCCGCCCTCGGGCGCGACACGCCACAACACTCGCAACGGCAGCCACGTCCCCGCTCACTTGCATCTCCTCAGAAGATTAGCTTCCGCTTGAGAAGCTTCCCCAGCTGACGTTTGTTTCCAGCGCACGAAGCTGGCCCACCTGGAGGACAGTGCACATTCACGTCCAGAACGGATCATGATGCGAACCTGCCCACAGTGGCCACTGACTGAATCTTTTCGGCACGGGCACCTGCACCCTGATGCCAGAGCTGCATGTACGGTCGCTGTAAGTGATACAAGTGTTGTACACTGACGGGACAAAAGATCGATTGGATGAGCAGGGCAGCGCCCGTGTCCATGGACTCAGGCTGGGTTCCCCCGCTGCCCAACGCGAGCGTAGGCGGCATTCTGTGCGGCTTGATCGACGGCAATTTCGCTGTACCTGGGGACTGGAGAGGCCGCGGCAGTTTTGGCTGGACATGTCATGGAGAGAGCCCTCAGGGCCGGGCGAAGTAGCGCCAGGGCACAGATCGTGACGACCTCCTTCAAGAAGCCCCCGGGGCTCTCCGGTGGCCGACGCCCAGAGAGCTTCGCCTTGCGCTGGGGCTGCTGCCTGGCCAGCAGCGGCCAGACCGCGTGTGGCCCTGCAACTGCAGGCGCTGGTTTGGTGTCGGGAAGCCTTGACGCTGCTTTCCGTTGGTCCTGTTGATACCTGTTGGCCAGTGGCTGGCCTGTGTGTAACCTCAGTGGGTTTGGTGATTTAACAGTTCCCTGAAACAGGATGCGCCGGATTTGACAGAAGGGCTTCACGTGGCACACCAGTTTCTGGCAAAACCTGTCAGGGTTTGGCGCCCTGCGCCAAAGTGCCCAGCAGCCTCACTTTGGAGGGTTGTCCCTCAGAGGAACAGAAAATGGGACCCGGCGAGGGGCGCCGGCTCTGAGACCCGTCTCTGGCTGCTGTTGGGTGCTCAGCCGTGCCGCTGGGACAGCGCACGGACGCCGAGACAGCCGTGTTCGCTGGATGGTGGCGTTCGCGCGCGAGGTCGTGGAGGCCCAGGCCCAAACGCGAGGCTCGCGGTGGGGAGGGCTGCGGAAAGGGCGGGGACCGACGCGCCACTCCATTCGCCGTCATCACCACCCCTGCCGTTGACTGCCGACCGACAGGGCAATCGGCACATCTTGTGTGAAATGAGCATTGACGTAACAACTCTCTGCTGGGCGGATTGTCTACCGATCACTCATTCCACCGTTTGGCAGCTTGCTTTGACATACGAGAACCACGCATCCTTTTCCGGTTCCCATACAATGCACTGGGTTGAATCGACAGGACGCTTCATGTTCTGGTTTTGGCTTTGTCATTGTCCGTTTTGCGCACGTGAGATATGGGGCGTCCCAGGAAGTGCAAACAAAAGGAACTATTTTGAAGCGGGGCTGCGACACACTGTGGAAATTGTAGAGCAAACGGAATAGGATACTGGAATCATGGACAGCTCTCCATGCTTGGGCATGACCTCTTCAGACCTCTTCAGGCCTCGCCGTGCTTGTGCCTGCTGTACTTGTGACAAAGCACGTGTCCGGGGATGGACAGGCTACGTGCAGATGGCTGAGGTTGCGCATACTTTTCTACACAGATATCAATGATTGCTCTTCGTGTGTATCTTCAACAATGCTTCAGCTGGTGGGTCAGAAGCACAACAGACGGTTTGATGGTCACCACAATATCCTAGCATGGAGTGTTGAGAGGATGCAGGAGCCAAAGAGCAGAAATAGCATGTCTCAGCATATGCATTACTAGTGTGCAGGCTTGATGTCACAAATGGTGCTGTTTGTATGTCGGCCATTTATGCCAACCCTAGAGAAGGCCTGAAATTCACAGATTAGGAGCGAAAGCCTCCACTGGAATAGTGAATGACGCCTTGAACGTGGATTTCAGCAGTTTGAACTCGCATGGCAACAACTTTTGGTGTGGGAAGGAGTGGACTGTTGCAATGGTCAGGCCTTTTATGAGGATGATGCTGTGAACATTGAGGAATAACAAGTTTTCTGCTGCAATGTGAAGAATTGTTGCCAATCCAATGCCAGGCAAAATTGCATTATGCACTCAGTTTCCTAGGCATACGTGTGGTTAATTCTGTTCCACTTTAGTGACAGGGAAGCTGTCGATTAGTGCTGGAAGAATGAGAATTTTTAAGGCCCTGAGCTGCAGCGCCATCATGTCAACGGAGGGCACTATTGGCAGCTCACGACTTTCTCAATGGGTTTCATCAATTGCAGCAATGTCTTGAATTGTCCTTCAGCACTTCTCAAGTGCCTTGCATGTCTGTGGCAACTCTGGCGTGGGGTCTGGACTTCACATGTATTTACTGTTGCAATGGATCGGGCCTTCACAAAGATGCTCACATGACCGTCTCCCCATAGCCCACAGGGACATGATTACACATCGCATGCGACCGTTCAGGACAATGCAGGAACACAGTCACAGAATCTTATCGATGCCAAGCTGGACCAAGAGTGCAAATGCCTAAAGGCGTGCAAACTCCAATTTTCGATGCTGGGTAGATTGTCCAAATGCTCAGGAGATACCAAGCACAGAACCTGCCAAGTAGTCTCAGTGAATTGCCCACTCTACAACAAGGCAGTGCCATTAAACTTGTGCTGAAATTGTTACAGCTGTATGCTGCCATAAGCTGCAAAGCAAGGGAGAGGTGCTGGTATTCAAGGAAATAGCAATAATTGACTGTAGTTTGCACAACACTGCCGTTGGAAGTGGCGGGAATGGACAGGTAATCCTGCTGGTCTCCTACTCACCTGGCAACCTCGCGGATTTATGTCCAGAGCATGCACAATGGACTCTCTGCTCCATCCAGGAGCATCCAAAATCAGCTTGTGCTGTGCCATTATTGTTCTTTTCTCTTAGTGCAGGTCTTCAGAATGCAATGTTGGGTTTCCAAATACAAGGTGTACCTATTGCTCTTTTGTTTCAAAGACCGTGACACCCTGCCAGATGCAACAGGTCCCAAATGGATTTTCACTGCTTTGAAGAAAACTTGATCACATTTTATGACAGCTTCCAGTGGTGATTACTGCCATTATAAGGGCTCTTTTGGCAGCATCTGGTGCACAGCGAAAACAGCAGCAAATGTTTGCATCGCGCTATTTGCTTCAATTAGAAAACCAGTAACTGGTTTATGTCGTGGTTATATTTCAGGCATGCAAGGGGGACTGCATCACGACATCTGCCAGTTTTCTCACCTGGAGAGTTGCTTGTGTATTGCTGAGTCCAACATTGCCACCAAGCAAGCGCAAACTGAGATTTCTGCCAGCTGTCCCTCTCAAAGATTGACCTAGCTACATCAAGGGGGGCTTTGGCACTCTTCTCACGTCTAAATTGTGGGCATGAAGCGCCAACTTTGTCATCTGCCTACAGGAACTGAAGATCTTGTGTTCCTACGACATCTCCCCAGCTCCAACAGCACTCGTTTGTCCTATTTTGGTGCACATCGTGTTGCATTTCTCAAGGCTTTGCTCCCCTTGCAGATAGTGCTTGTATGGAACCTTGTCGCAGTGGACAATGGCAGATGCATCTGAATTTGGTGCTGATTCCTGAATGCGTGTTTCTTGGGGGCTGTGGTTGGATGGGCAAGGCACATCGATGACTATGATTTCCGCAGCCAAATTGGTTTTGGACCCATTCCATGGAACTGAACTCACCTCTCAACCCCAGAAAAATGTCCCTTCGCTTTGCTTCGCTGCACCTGATAATCGGGAATCTGACTAGTGTACTTGAGCTAGTACGTATGCATTTCACAGGGTAGGTCATAAACCATTGGCACTCGATTCAGAATGATGCTGATTGCATTCCTATCAACATGAAAACCCTGAAACCTGAAAGCTAACAACTTTCAAACCTAGACAAACTGTAAACCCGAACTGGCCTTCATGATCTTAATGACCTTCATAACCACACATCCAGAAATGAATGGTGTCCAGGCTGGAGGTCCAACAACTGACCTTTCTGTTCTACGAAAGCTGCACTTTTTTGATGTATCTGTGAATGGAGAGTATTTCATAGTATAAGGAAAAAGGTGAACGATTGTCGTTCGGGGTGTCAAAGTTCCTTGGCCATCCCGGTTCGAGATCCCGCTCGTTGCAATCGTCGCAATCGAATGCGCTCAGCGATGGGCCACAATGCAGCACAAGCCAAACCTTTTTGGCTCGACCTCTGTGACAACCTTGGTGCACACGGTGCTCAAAGGCACTTCCCGTGCATGGTCGGACAAGCAGCAGAGACTCAACTTGTCTTACAACGAATCCAAGAGAAGCCACGAACAAGTCTCAGGTTCTCTTTAAATACCAGAGTGCGCCTTTTTTCCCGCCCGCCAGAACTCACACTCAGAACAGCAGATTGAATTCACACTTTACACATGCACAACACGCTTCCCCATACCACCGGCCCATAGCATCGATCTACGGCACCGACCCACAGCTCCAACTCATAGTAGCAACTTAAGATCACCAAAATTAGTAAGATTGAAGCTGATTGTTGGCGAGCTGTCCTCCCGCCATCTCAATCAGGTCAATGCATGCACTTGTCAGCCAGCACATGACCAGGTGCTTGCACAACATGGCAGCTACGGCTAACTTGGTGTGTCAGACTTCCATCTCTTTAAACTGGCTCTTAACTTGTATTCACTTCCTCATTGGTTTCATTGCACATCAGTGTTCAGCCATCGACCTCCAATCATGAGAACTGAAAAGTTGCATGTGAAACATTGAGAAAAGTTAATAGCCGTCCAAAGATATTATTGACGGCATTCTCATATGCCACCATTTAATCATCGGATTACAAATCAGTAACTGACGGAGCCAGATCAATGGTCAATTACTAGTATTTCAAACAGGAAGTTATGTGGGACATTCGCAATTCTGAAAGTAGAAACATCACAAATTTCTCATGATGGCACCTTAGCCCCAGTCTTGCGCAACAATCCTTTCAATAAGACTTATGTCAGCAACGCTTTGGCTACCGCAATTGTCCAAAATTCCTACGCAATTGCAGAAGCCTGACACTGTACAACCAGACAATATAATTTCTTTGCCAATCCACCAGTAGACTAATTATGGCAAAACAGGGGCCTTGCGCTCACACTCGCCTCCGACTTTAGGTGACTTTCATCACAGAACATTCCATCCGATTTCACAATATAGTCGTCCACACTGTCATTCGTTCTGCTTTTCCATTGTTTGGAAACGCTTTCTTGCTGCCTCTCGACACGTGAAGTGCATTTGCCTGCCTTGATGTGTTCCCAATGCCGTGAGGTGTTCAGCTGATTGAACGAAAATTTTCAGCTCATTCTTCGGAGCTCAGCATTCTTCTCGCTGTGCCAACGCGCATAAAATTGACGATGCGAATCTGCGCCAATCATTTTCACTGTTCTAACTCATTTAGCAATCCCAGCGCACCCTAGTGATCAGTCGGCCCTGGAATCCAAAAGAACTCATAGCTCATGTACATAAATTTCAGATGCTGATGCAGTCCTGAAAGATTCATGCGTGTCTGGACAAGCATTCAAATGAGGCGAGTGGCCTGACTATTCGCCTCGTTCAAGGACCACATTCCATCACGAATCACATGGACTCTGCTCATCTCAGGAACACTTTAGTCCACGCTATCTGAATGAGACTGGCTCAGCTGACAAAATTAAATTCTGAAGTGCAGTAGAGACAGGCATCAACGCCCGTGGCTCATGATGAAGGCCGCAGCAAGCTCCCTAATCAATGCGACCAGGAGTTCATGCATCCCTTCACTTGCGTTCCCTGAGCACTTTCGCCTTCTCCGTTCATACTAAAAACTGATTTTGCTGAGCCCATTTACCGTGTCTCGAACCGCATCTGTGGCCTCGTGCGGAGACGGTGCGCTTGCAGCCACGATCAAGCTGTGATCTGTCAAGGGTACCTGAATCCCCAATCTCAGCATCACTGCAATGCGCCCCACATTCTTGCACTCCCTCACTTTCACACAGACTTCTTTTGCCGCGGCAATCAGAAGGATAAGGACCGCGGCGAACTGCCGATTTCGCTTCGAGGTGCCCCCAGCGGGAGACCACTCTAATCCAGATCCCGTGCAGGGGAAATCCTCACTGTGGGTCACACCGTTGGCGAGGGGCCCATCTTTGCTGCACGACTTGCACAGCTTGTGGGACACAGTGGCATTGATGACCTGGAGGGGGCCACATGTCGAAAAGCTGGCGATTTCAGTCTTGCCGACCTGCGCAAGGCTGCTGGTTCGGACCACATCGGCAGCCGATGGGAGCGGCCCAGCAAAGACTTTGACCAAATCCTCCACGGGCCCTCCGAGGCCAGGCTGCGTGCTGCAAGAATCGGAGCTGCTGCCGTAGGATCCCGCTGGCAGGAGTGCGGGAGTCAGGCAGGGCGGGACAGCCGACGCCGGACCTCCTTGCCCGGCGCTTGATCCTCTTGCATGCATCGTGTTTGCATGCTCGGGGCTCATTGCATCGGCAGCGCCTGAATCAGGGGAACGCGTTACATGCCACGCAGTTGTCATTTCAACCTCTCGCCCTGCGCCTACCCTCCAATTCAAATCAATCTGTCGCAGCGCAAATCCTTTGTACTCACCTATGTGCAACTGGCAAGTTCGCGCTGCTTTTGTGCCGTCCTGATTAATTGGGGGCGTTCCAATAACGACGACAATGGCACACAGCGGCATGGGGATCCTTAGATGTCGCAGTGGTTATCTTGGCCTGCAGTGCATGGGCTGGCCACTAAAAATTGATGGTCTGTAGAAATGCCTTGCTCCTTCAAGCACCGGTCACCCGGCACTCAAAAAGCAAGTTGCCAGTACTGTGAGGTAAGGGCGCGAATGTTGGATTTGTTCTGAAAGAAGATTCTGAATGTTCGAAATGGCGCAGCTTACCACATGCACAAAGATCGCATTTCAACAGGCCAGCGCCCAAGCGAGTAAACTCAACGAGCGGTGAGTTGGGATTGCTGGCGTCCAGTGGGGCGGAAACGAACGGCGAATTGCTCGTGACAGGGACCAAAAGGCCATCCTGCAACAAAATGCAACCCCAAATGTCATCGTCCAGTGCAAGCAGTCAGTTGCAGAGCGGAGGTCCAAATATACGGGTGTTGCCATTTGACAAATTTATCGACTACTTTGCATTCAACTAGAAGTTATGGCTGTATCCGGGTCAGTTCTTCGATTAGGGGATGCAGGGAGGGAAATTTCCGTTTGTCGCTGATGAATGTGAGCAAGTCGATGGCGGTCTCTGTGTGACGGAATGGGGCGGGGAAGAAGGATTTGTCGGGTGGGAGTGGATAACGGAGGCTAAAGTACAATTGCATACAGCCCAGACTCGGCAATTCTGTCGGGACCATTGCTGTGAAAACCGCGATTCAGGCGTGAATCCTCAACGCTTATTACATAGTCACACCCGTTTGTGTTCCAGTCTACTGAAGGTTCCCTGACCCCATCCTCATCTACAAGCTCAACTCCGACAGTTTCTTCAAAAATCCGTGCTGGGGGGCACAAGCAACATTTTAATGCGGCCGTGAAAACTTTCGCCCCAGAACCGGTGCTGCCACAACGTGGCTGGCCTCCGCTAGCAAGGTTGCTGATCTTTGCGCTGGACATTGGAAAACTTTTGAAGCATGGCCAATTGAGCTTCTGAAATGTTGGCCAAAAGGACGCCCCCCTCCTCTTTTACAGCTCTCCCCACAGCCCCACCCTCCAAGGAGTTGGAATTCAATTTCAAATGGGCAACCTCTGTAGTCAGTTCATTCAATAGCTCCCCTAAATAGGATGCCTGTCCTATCAGCTGGTCCGCTTTCTTCACTAAATCTTCCCTCAATCCCGCAGTCTCAGCGCGGACCTCATCCCTCGAAAGAAACATGAATCTGTCTATCTGGGCCAGTAGATCGTCTTTTAGCTCTTCTATCCTTCCCGCCAACAGCACCGGTATCTGTGCAATTTTATTAAAGGCGATGCCGTGGGCGGCGGGACGAGTGCCAGGGATCCTGTCAACGCGTTGCATTTCTACGCCGCGTTGCTCGTGCTCCAATTGGGCGGGAGCTATGCCTTGGTGGCGCTGGGGAGTAGGGAAGGCGCGATTCAGTGGCAGCAAAGCCTATAGGGTATTTTGAGATCTGGTCATCGAGCAATTTGTCATGCGTGTGGGACATCACGTGGCCACTTCAAAATTGTTGCTTTGATGCCTCCTCCAGTGCAACAACAAGGCCATTTCCTAACTGTGGAAAGCGACAAGGTAGTGTTTCCGCAGCTGTGCGTATCTATGGAGACGCATGAATTGCATACGTTTAGAAGCTTCATGCAGATCAAATTGGAAACACAACAGCTGGATTCTATTATATGCATGTAGACGGCCTCATATTGCCAAGCTCTCAGCATTCAATAGTCGCTGGAACGTTTGCACCCATGCAACGCTGTTTCGTGGAGCAAAGCTCTCAAAGCTCAGAAACGTGCCCTCAGTCCAAACACGAAATCGAACAGGTGGCTGACGCGAACTTTTGTGGCAGTTATTCTTCTGGCATGTTCGCTTGGAGCATACATGACATACACCAACTTACGTCAAACGGCAGACACGGGACCGTAGATTTTATTTTTCTTGCGAAATGGGGGGTGCGCATGGCGGCCACTTTCCCTAGCGCTCGGTCAACACCATTGGAGGGAGTTTGGACATCGCAGGAAAGAAGCCCTTTTTGGATATCCGGCTCTCCATCGCAACAAAAGGAGCCATGGGGCCAGAACTGCAATACGGCGCGTCGCCTCTCGCATCTCACATATCCACCCACTGTACAGTTGTGACAGGATTACGGGGTGTCCATGCGGATTTTACCCTCCACCGTTCTGCAAATTCACGTTGAGAAAGCGCGCAGTTTTTCGCAATGCATTACTTATATCCAAAGAAAGGTCATTGTGATGTGCCTGAGGCGCTTGCGGCTTCAAATGGCAAATACCAATCGCAATATTTTGTTCACCACTACAACGGCGCTGTGACAAAATATTCATTATTCCGTCGCACGCAAGACAATGAATACAAATAAAATATGAAAACTATTTGAAGTTATAAGCTGTATAAGCTATTTAAGCTATGCAAAATATCGAATGGATTGCGTCGATTCGCCTCTCACCTCGCTCAGCTCTTCTTCGCTCAGCCATTCCACCCATTCGTTGAGGTTCGCCACCGCGTCGCTGTGTGCGGTGCGGTCGACCGCCATCCGGACCGCGTGTGGCGCGGCATGCACGTGAAAGAGGCGCGCCGCGGTGGAAGTGGTGCGCAGCGCCCTGTCCCCACCATATCCAAGGCTTGCGCCCGCATCCGCCTGTGGGATTCCAAATGGCGCGCACGGCAGATGCGCCGCCCTCTCCCTGCTGTACAGATCGGGAGACACGTAGGTGCACCTATTCTCCTGCCTGACCAAATGCCGCCTTCCCGGAAATGGCTGGCCGCCCCCTTGCCAGAGGGGTGCTCCGTCCTTCACGAAGCTCGGCACGCCCTCTGCGTAGGGTCCTTCGACGAAGTTGCCCAGGTCCCTGGCGCTCCTGCGCAGGGTGCGCACACACCTCCTCGGGCTCGTCTTTCCCTGCCTTGCACCCAACTGGGCGTTGTCCCAGGACGGCCTGTAGCTGGGGTCCGGCTCGTCGTGTGTTTTCCTCTTCTTCTGCCTGTCCGGGCCCACCAGATTGAGCGTCTTCATGTACTCCTTCAGGATGGACGCGCTGCCCCCAGCGTCGTCGTCCGGGTGCTCCCGACGCCGCAGCGTGGCGTTCCAGTGGTTCTTGACAGCGTTCTCCGTCCGGCCGGGCATGTGCTTGGCGATGTCAGCCCATCGGTTGCCCAGGTGCCTGTGTATCTCTATCAGGCTGCGCTCCTCGTCGGGCGTCCAGGCGTCCCGGTTGATGTCGGGCCTCAGGTGATTGTTCCACCTCTCCCGGCACTGCTTCCCGATCCGCCCGTGATTCTCGTCTTTTCCGAAGGACCTGTTCAGCGACCGCGCAATGACGCTCCAGTTGCCCTCCCCGTGCTCATGAACCAGCCTGCCGCCCAGAAGACCCATTTCACGGGCGCCCGAGGAACTTCTCGCCCCGCGCGGCGCCCCTGCCCACCGCGGCCAGTGGCGTTGGACTCTGCAGACGACGTCAACCGCAGCCCAGCGGTTCGTCCGCGCGCAGTCGTCGGACCCGCGACGGCACGCGGGGCCGCGCAGAGCTGACCTTTTCAGGAGGGCGTCCTCCTCCGGGCTCCAACCGCCCTTTACTTTGGCCACCGGGTGGCGCCGCTTCTTCATGCGAGGCCCACCCCGCCGGGCGCCGTCGGCGCTCTCCGCGTGCGACGACTTGGAGCCGCCCGGCTCCGCGAGGGGCCTGCGACAGACCAATGGACCAACCGTTGACCCGCCAACCCCATGGGCGGCGCAGAGCAGCGCGGGGGCGACGGCGGGGCGGGAGGCCGAACTGGCCGCCTCCGGCGGCCAAAGGCACATTCGGTTGGGCGGTGAGTAAACGGGGCGCTTGAGGGCGGCCGCATGCCCTGGGCAATCAATCGCGCAGCTCGGCCAACCGCCGAGCTAGAAAGGGGGCCAGAGAGTTGACTTTGCGGCGCAGGGGGAGGCGCCGCCGCCGGGCCGGCCCCGACGCACCTGGATCCGTCGGAGGGCTGGGGGACCTTGCGCTGGACCCGCGGCCTCGTATCTGCGCAACAGGGACGTCAGTGGCGTCGGGGAGGCGGGGGCATTGCCGCCGCTCGGTGGGCCCACCCGGTGCGCCGTGTTCCAACCTGCCAGGGACGTGGCGGCGGCGTCCATGGGGCCTTGCCTTGGGTGTCCAGAAACGCCAGCGCCCTGGCCCACCACGCGCCCCGGGGATTCCCGACGTCCAGCCAAAACGCCCTCGCCGGAGGGGCTTCGGGAAAACGGATAGCGTCACGAAGAGTCAACCGCTGGTCGCCAAATCGTAACCGCCCCCCAACGACTGCCGTCCAGACAGCGCCGCCCACGAGTGCCGGGAAGGGGCGGATGGGCGGCGCGGCGCCCCGGCTGCCTGCCAGAGTTTCAGTTGCATGGCCTTTTTCACCGGCGTCGAAGTTGGGCGCCGGGTGCCGTACGACCCTGTGCCACGGTCATTCTGACCGCAGGGCGCGGGTGTGAGCGTTTTGGCAGGGGATGGCCCCGCGGTCAGACAAGATGCGGGCAATCCGCTGCAATACGCGCGGCCGATACGGCTCAGAAGGGGAATCGGGAGAGGATTGGGAGTTTGCACGAACTACAAGGGAGGGCCCGCCCGGCCGCAGTACTGCAGGCTCTGAACGTGTCCCGTGCAGGCGCACAAGGGGGAGCGGCTCTATGCATGGCGGAGGAAACGGGCCAGCGGGCCGAGGCTGTGCCCAAGCGCTCCCACACAACGCACCACAACAACACTTGGGGCTGCTGGTGGAACGACTTGACGGATTTCTCCGTGGGAGCCTCGTCCCTTGCACCTTGAAGGGATGAGGAATGCGTAAGAAAGTCCAACCCAGGCCAGCGCCCTGGTGCTGAGAAATTGCGCACGTGCACTGATGTCGACGCCAGGTAACAAGAGGCCCGCAAACCTGGCCACAGACCTTCTTTGTGCTGTCGAAGAGACACCGAGACATCTTGCATGGGATTTGATAGTCGCCAGAATTTGTGGCATAGGAGCTTCAGAGGTGCTGCGGGACGTCCGCCATCGATGGTAGGCAGGATGAGGCGTCTGATGGCAGGTAGGGCAGAATATTGATGAGAGCGAAGTCACCGGTCATCCATGAACGTTTGACGCCGGCGGGAGGGTGCCACTAGATGCCTCGTTCTGTGTCGCTATGCCTTTTGAGTGCTATAGACATGAACATGAGGATTGAACCTAAGGGATCTAGGCTGATCGCCACGTTGACGACGACTGTGCCAGAACCGTCGCAATACCTTACTATACCTAATCGAGTCCAGAAAGGAAGCCATTGATGGACAGACAACTTTACAACATTGCACCACAACAGTGCGGATTTTTTTGGCAGCCCTTGGTATGGAATGAGAAGTTCGTGTTGCCTGCCGACAGCAGCGAACAAGGTAGGCCTACGACACTGGAGTGAAAGCAACATTTGCTAAGGCACATGCGGTACGGATATGCGTGTGCACAGTCATCCAGAACGAGTTCTTTCCACAATCTGAATTGTGCGTGGCATCCTGAATATCTGTTTCCAGACACTCAGGATGCCAGCCACGATTGAGGAGCCCACCGTGGCACACTTGTAAGCCTTCCATGGTGTGCAATTACCCATGGCGGAGATCCCAGAGGTACGCTTTTCGTTCGTCAATGTTCAGGCAATGCAAAGTTGACATGGAACCGATGGTCGATGATGCAACGCGTTGTCTGTTTGTTGCTTACACGAATGCATCGGCATGACGTCACGGCATCGATCAATGTTGCATAAGATCCAGTGTTCGAGGGACACGTCCAAGTTCACCTATACAAATGCTGCAGAGCGCGACTTGACAACAAGTTGTTCCAAGGGAATGAAGTGAACATCACTTCAACTCAGCGACAGCGGCGCTGTTAGACGCACGCGCTACCAGAAGAGAACAGCTCCTTGATTGCACGCAAAGAACCATCGCAGCACGCTCACTTGCAGTGCCTCAAGTGCACAACGCACACATTCGAGCACGGCAGGGTATGCGGACCAAATTTACACATGTCCTTCCCTTCATTTTCTGTGGCAGCTGCTTTGCCGCCATTCTTTGACACCTTTGGGGTTGCGGACCAGCACTCTTGAGATTCGCTTCCAGCGGAAATGTGCGCATGCTTGCAGCCGCTCCAGTAGCTTTAAATAACACTAATTGGCTACTTTCCAACTGAAGTATTTTCTGGCCCCAATCTGAAGCCAAGATCATGCCCCATCAAATGTGACGCCAAAACGGAGAAAATGCAGAATCCTGTGAGTCAGAAGCGGAATCATCTCACAGGCGACCAATTCAGTACGTTGCAGCGCGCCTGAGGACATCGCGAGCTGCAGCGCACAAGCAGCCAGATCGTTGCCTCCATCCCCGCACAATGAACTGCTGTATATAAATTTTAGTTGCCTTTGTGACTAAGATGTTGCCGCTCCTGCCTTTGCCCAACTCAGTGCCTTTTCCGCAGGGCAGCGGCTGGAATGGACAACAAGAGGATATCTGCCACATGGCATGGCCATCCCAGTCCACTTGTCTCTGCCCCGGGCAGTGGTGGGGAGCATATCGTTGTAGTCCCTTTCGAATGCGGGTGAACATTGCTAGTTTGAAAACAAGAGATCTAAAGGGAAATAGCACTGATTTCGCGTAATTCCACAGAATCGCTCCTGTACTCAAACAAACGTGGCCAATAAAGGCGGCCAGCTGATTACAGCTCTCCAGAGACGGGAGCTGACTGCCTTGCAAGGCTTGGAAAGAAGTAAGCAATCTCTCGTTCTGCTGCAATACTGGAATCTGATCCATGCAGAGCATTGGCAGTGATTGTCTTCCCATATCTTGCACGAAGACTGCAACAACCAAAAAGGGCAGGTCAAATCATTTCCATGGGCGTCTTTCCATCAACTGGAAAGGAACGCTCCCAACCACATCAAGCCTCCTCAGCAATCACACACACACGCTCACATATATCTGTGCATCAGAATGTAATCAAAATCCTGCTGGCTGCGATAACTATTTGAGCAATAATCAGGGCTGTCTGGTGTGTTGGTTGCATGCTGAAGTACATCTTGCAAGGATGCAGATGTCGGCTGGCCGAATTTGGGTCACAGTTCACTTGCAGCTTTAGCTCTGGTTCATATCCAGTAAAACAGTCGGATCACTTCACAGTCGAGACTTATCCACATACTTAATTGCGAATCAGGCCAGTGTGGCAGCACAACCTCATTGTGAGCAACTGACTGAGGATTCCCCTGTGGGTTTGTAGAATTCTGCAGCTGAAGGTGGAGGTGCAGAGCCAGAACACTTTTTGCGAGGAGCATATTTCTGATGGCTCCCAACAGGTGCATTCCGGCCATTGACGCTTCTGACGCCAAATACAGGAAGGAATCCACCATTCCACCAATCAATCCGAACCAAAGAATCTGCTACGACTTTGGGCTTTGCCATGTCCGCCATTGCAAACTGAAGGGAAGGACATGTGTCAATTTGTGGCTGATGACGATTATCTTTGTGAACTCTGGCAGCCAGGAGCAAGGCAGATCATTCATCATGGCAGGGGAATGCTTTGCAAAGAAGCAACAATCAGGCTCATGAACGTTCCCACAGGAACACAAAGGACATTCATGAGTGGACCACTGCAGAGAGATAGTAGGCACTCTGTAGACAGGCCAACGGCAGCTTTGGGCCTCCTGCAAACAACACCTTTTTGGATGTGTGTCCTGCGCAGCTGCCGGATCTGTTGGTCCCATGAGGTCTCGAAGAAGGCTGACAGCATTCTCCTTTTCAAGCACTAAAACTATCATTGTGTGCCTGAAACAAGAAAGCAACAAGTTACAAAAGGCCGTCACAGGGAACGGGTTGTGCCATTCGATTTGAAAATGGACAGCATGGGGAGTCTCTTAAAAATGAGCAAGTTGAGCACTAAATAGCTTCTGTTTTTCACTTCGCAAAACTCAAGGATAACAGCATCTTGTTGTAACATCTGCTAGGGTGTGACCACACAAAGCAGGGAGAGGGCATCAACTGACAGATTTTCCCACCAGCCCAGTTCAACATATCCACACACCTGCCATTGCTGCATCAAACGCATAACGACAACTCAACATGCATCCAAGTGGCCGTTGCATTATATGACAGACATCCAGATATTTGTGCCATAACAATGGTCATGATCCTATTAGGGAGCATCGAATGGGGCACTGCGCCTGCTCCACAATCTGGTTAGGATGCAACAAATGTAGTGCTGGAAAATTGCTGGTCATCACAGCTGTGGGCAGCAGAACACTTTGTACTGCACAGAATCTGCCCTGCAGTACATGGTACTGGCATCTGTGAAGGTCTGATAGGCCCAGAAGTTGTGTGGCAGCTGTTAGAAGTGAGTGAATATTTGTCTGTAATATTGAGTTTAAAACGAATAAGTCACTGCAGATGTCTTTTTGTCCTCAACCAGCTGTCCACAAATGGCAAACAAAATTCTGTTGTTGGCTGACAAATGTGAGGTTCTTACCCCACCATTGATCCAACCAGCTCTTTGAAGAAGAATTTCTGTAGACACACAACAATGTCTCACCACAGACTGCTTGATGATTTGCCCAATTTTCGTGCACGACCTCAACTCGGCAAGGTGCTGAAAAAGGAAAGGGCTATCCATGGCAGCCTGCAAACTTGTCACCCTGCCCCAGTGCACAAGGGGCCCGCTGCTGCCACCGATCAGTAATGCCGTGGCCGATTCTGT